TATGGTGGAAAGAATAACCAAACATGCCCCTTCCACCCAAATTATTTATTTATTTTTTTTATTATAAAATCTATTTCTACAGCTGAAATTCTACCTGGAAATTCACATTCCATAGTAAGGAATATAAATACAGCAATTTTATTATATTTTTTTATAGATCTTATCCTTTGGCATTTTTGCTCTACAGTATGCTGTATTTATAATAATTGTAGAGAACATATATTTTTCCCTCTCTCTTTTGAAATAGGATTATTTCGGTATATCTCTACACCTACATACACCTTTTTTTTTTCTTTTTTTTTTTTAAATCTCTGTTGTATTTTGAAAATTATAGCTGTTTCTTAGATGGATTTTCCAGGGAGACCTCAAGCTTGTTAGCATTTGAAAAAATGCTGGAAATTACTGGACACCTAGAGGTGTTCAATAAGATAATTTCTCATGGTTGCTATAGGAAATATTGGCAAACTATATCCCTCAGCTGAGATGGTATGTGCTCCAGTTCTACTTCCCATAGAAATATCTAGCTTTAATGAGAAGTATCATACTCAGAACTGGGAATATTATTTTTCCAATCTTTTCTAAAAGACTGCTGACAGCTGCTGACAGATGACAAAGTCTCTTTTTGCCTCACATAGCTATTTAATTTCTTCTCCACAATGACAAAATTTCTCGTAATTTTTCCTCTGTGCCAATAGTTAAATTTTAAAACCAATTATTCACCAAATTAACATGAATAGACAATAATAATAAAATGTAAACATTCACCATTAATATGCTTTTGCCAATCTCTTGTTTAGACTTGGCTAGGGCTGAACCCAGTGATCTTCTGTTTATGCCTATGAGCAATTCCTGAGTAAAGATTATGGGATAACAAATTGAGACCTATGTGCTACCATGGATATTTTGCAGGTTCATGCCTTTACTGTATGGAGACTCACTGAAGTCAGCATGACTCTGAGCCCAGCTTTAAGCCTGCCTGAGCAGGGCTTATCATGGGGCTGTGGCACTGATAGGACAGTGAAAGCTGCAGTAAGGACCAGGCACCTTCACAGACCCCTTGCTTAGGTGACTCTTCACATTTATCTTGACATTTCCTAAAATAAGTCTACCCTGCAAACGAGTTTTGCTTGTGCTTTGGATAGTCCCTTCTTACAGGGTTCACTGCGTAAATTTGTGTRCATGTACATAAGCTGTCTTCAGCTCTCATGGTAAGCGGGTATCTTCTGTGCAGAGAGGCCATTGCTTACAAAAAGGACATTCATTGTCATAACAAATAGAGAGCAGAAGACAAGGTTGTTGTCCCTCACTCTTTAATAGAAGAGTATAACTATATAAGCTGAGAGTCACAACGTGTACCAGATGAAATCTGCCATCTCTGCTGTCTGAAATGCAGCTCTCATTCTTTTATTTTTTTTCTTTTTTGATCATGCAGAATAAAATTATTTTTAACCCCCAAGAAGAAATATTTTTGTTTGGTTTGTAACTATTGTTCCACAGATTCTTTGGCAGCTGATGGCTTGGTTTCATCATTTATAGAACTTAAAACTGTCTTCTAATATTTTTTTCTTTTTCTTTGAGTTATTGTGTGCAGAAGGACAGCCTTCACCTGCTATATATAAAAAAAAAAAAAAAAAAAGAAAAGAAAAAAAAAAGGAAAAAAGATACTGTCTCTTTAATGAAAGAAAAGCATCAATATACTGTATTACTGAATGCAAATGCAATAAGGAATAACATATAGCTCTGTTTATGTTATATGACATTTGGCTTAGCAGTATTAACATATTGCACAAAATCTGCATTTTCCCTATTGCAGAAAAATAAGACGATAAAAGACATGGGAAATTAATTTCTTCCATATGATCATAAAATAATTATTCTTTTTCTTTCTTTTTCTTCTTGTCAGTCATTTGCAGAAATATTTTAGTATTACTTCTTTGTTAAGCCAGCTCTTTATCATGTATGTATTAGGCATACAGTACAAGGAGAAATGGAACAAGATGGCAGTTATAGCAGTGGCAAGATGCAAATTTATTCTGAAAAAAAGTAATATGTGCACAATATCAAGCATGCTTAAGTTTGTGCCAGGAAAATTATTGTGAATGAGGAATGGATGGGATGGAATTTTGCATCATACATGATTACATGTMACTTAACTTCATAGGAGAGTCTTTGTCTATTCCTGATGTCCCAGGTACCACCAAGAGAAGCTGCTTACCACACCACTAGAGTGAAAATGGCAACAGATACCCCAGCAGTATTCAACTGCAACATGACTCTTGTTTTCAGAAATTAAAGAAATAGACCTCAAAAAGATGACAGAGAAAATTCACAGACCATTGAGCTGCAGGCACTAACTCCAGGTGGGGAGAGGGGGATGAATTTATTACATCTTGTAATTGAAAGTCAGTAATTGTTTTCTGCTTCATTTTCCCCAAGTTTAATTAGGCTACATTATGCATGTGATGCTGTTGTCACTGTTTTTCCTCCTGTCTCTCTCATATTGTATGACACATGACTGAGTGTAGCCAAGCAGTGGAGGAGTCATATTTTTCACTGACACCACTTGAAAACATTTTTATAGAAAAATAAGTGATGAAGAATGAAGAAGAGCAGAAAAGAAGAAATGAAATACCTTAAAGATAGATCTCTACATTAATTCACCGTGAAGCAAAAGAGAAATAATAAAAACTCTTCTTCAGGTGCCAATTCAATAGAGATGAACCAGGTTAGGTACTGTATTGGTACAGTGTAAAAATAGATGACAGTGAGTGATGGTGTGAACAAAAAACCATGAGGAACATCACAGAAATGGATGTTGGATGGCCTTTGCACAGCAGAGGTAGATAAAGGTTATAACAAACTGTTTACTGACCATGTACACTTACTAGAATTAAGAGGTCAGTTGAACAAGAGCTCACCTAGTAAGAGCTTTCTCAGTAGTGTGACTTATCAGCTGTTGTACAGTACCAGAGCACTGACCAGTTATTGCTCCATCACTTTTCAGTAACATTTCTGTCCTTTCAAAAGTCTACATTCTACCATTAGTTAAGGCTTTTTCTTTTGCATTTCTACATTTTTCCCCAATTTTGCATCAATTCACTTGTGTAATTAATACATGTGCCTCTAACAGAAAAGAAAATAAATAAAAAGCACCACGTTTTATTGAACAAAATATAGCATGTGCAAGGAAGGGAAGGGAGGAATTATAGAAACAAACCAGTGCTGAAGAATTTTGCATTAGCTGGTGCTTTTTGTTGTTGTCGTATTTGCACAGATCATTTTAGGCTCCTCAGTCCAGGTTGTAGCAAAACACTATCAAAACAAATACTCTTGCAAAATATTTGAGCTTCGCAGCTTAACATGTGCATCTTGAACCGCTTAAGCAGCATGGTTATCTTCTTTTTGTTTTTCTCCAGAATTTAACAGACCGTAAAGTGTATACAAAAACGCATTATGCACCAGTGATTAAATGTTCTTACAACATTAATGTTTATCAAGGGGTATTTCATAGCTAGAAAGTAGGTAACTATATTTTATTTCCTAAGAGAACATTTTCTATAGTTTTCCTTCATTTCCCAGCTACACAGCAAACATCTCTAAAGTGCACTTCCCAAGTGTAGTTAGAGAATAGGAAGGAATGTAAAGTTTTTAAAAACAGCCCTTATTAACTTTTCCTTCCATTGATTCTACTGTAAACTCTAAAAAGCCTTTTTAAAAAGCAAATTCTCATACACTCAGCAGGTGAAATGTTCCCACAAAAATAAAAGCAAGCAAATTCAAAACCACCCCAAACAATGAAAAATCAGCAATCATATTACAATCTTTTCTCTTGTCTACTCGTATCCTAGTATATCTTTACTKTTTTTATTGCACATTTATGAAAACGGTTGTCCTATATATTTAAAAAAAAATAGTTTCTTTATCTGTGCTAACACATTCTTGTGCATCCTTAATAAACTAGAGTAACTTTCAACAACATGTAGATATTAGAAAAACAATGGAATCAAACCAAAGAGATACTTTGTACTGTAGATGTTCAAAGACTTCTAGTGTTATTTTGTTGAGAAAAAAAAAAAWTGAATTTTGGAAGTTCTTGGCTCCCATTTGTTATGGAAAGCTGCTGGTTATGTGACAGCAGGAGAACTCAAAATATGATTCACAATGAATGTCAATCTTTCACCTCCAATATGAAGGCTTCCCAACTATTCAACTTGCTGAGCATAACTGGCTTTACTTACATATCTAGAAAAGGCTGCTCCTGTTCAACTGACCAGTGAGAAAGGACTGGACTTCTTCAAAACGGGTATTGGAGCAACAGTTTGTTATATATTTCTTTACACTTTTTAACTGTCCGATCCCACCTTGTAAGGAGAGCACTTGTTTGTTCAGCTAAAAGGAACTCCCTTCATGCTCCTTTTGGGTTTGCTCAGTCAACTGTTTTGTGCAACAGTGGCAGAGGCACACTAGAATTGTGTACCCATTCATTGTGATTACACAGACAAAAGCAATGTATGTTGTCTGTGACGGTAGATGGGAAAGGGAAAGGAGATGAATGGTTCCCATGGATAAGAGGACAGTAAGGTTTGTTTGGGGACCTTTTTGTGGTTGCTTTTTTTTCCTTTTTTTTTTTTTTT